CGTCGCAGTAGTTGTCGGAATGTCTCATTGTATCAACGTTATCCGCCTTTCGGGACTCCATCTCCGGGTTTGATTTCAGAGTTTCCTTCTCTTCGATGAGTTGCCGTCCAAGGTTAACGAGTCCCATCTACCCGGGGTGCTGGTGGTGTTTTTGCTCTAGCTGGAATTGAACTCCAGACCACCAACTTGAGATTTGCTCAGTTTAGACCACTCGGCCACCCAGCACCCAAATACGTCACAAAATCTCAACATAATAATAATAGATACAGCTAAATATTTAATTTATTTTTTATACTAAACATTTTTCCGTACCAAACATTGACGGCCCTGAATCTAGTACACAACAAGAAACATTCGCAAACCGAAATAAATTTCCCCATAGACATCAAAGTAAATGCAATGCATCTTATCCAGCCTTAGAAAACTGGTATTTTTAAATTGTTATTGTTGTACAATGAAAAATTCATATTTTTATCTGACCTAGCAGCCTCCCGATGTCTAACAACATAATGAATTCTACTTCAGCGAAATTTATCCAACCAACCATCGCTAAAAGTAATAGGCTGGCGTTAAAATTTTCAGCTTCGGCGCTTGTACTCTGTTTTGGCCAGCAAATCACTGCAACTTCCTGGCACTTGTACTCTGTTTTGGCCAGCAAATCACTGCAACTTCCTGGCACTTGCACTCTGTTTTGGCCAGCAAATCACTGAAACTTCCTGGCACTTGTACTCTGTGTTTAGGCCAACAAATCACTGCAACGTCCTGGCACTTGTACTCTGTTTTGGTCAGCAAATCACTGCAACCGCCTGACACTTGTACACTGTGTTTAGGCCAACAAATCACTGCAACTTCCTGGCACTTGTACTCTGTTTTGGCCAGCAAATCACTGCAACTTCCTGGCACTTGTACTCTGTGTTTAGGCCAACAAATCACTGCAACTTCCTGGCACTTGTACTCTGTTTTGGCCAGCAAATCACTGCAACGGCCTGGCACTTGTACTCTGTGTTTAGGCCAACAAATCACTGCAACTTCCTGGCACTTGTACTCTGTGTTTAGGCCAACAAATCACTGCAACTTTCTGGCACTTGTACTCTGTGTTTAGGCCAACAAATCACTGCAACTTCCTGGCACTTGTACACTGTGTTTAGGCCAACAAATCACTGCAACTTCCTGGCACTTGTACTCTGTGTTTTGGCCAGCAAATCACTGCAACCGCCTGGCACTTGTACTCTGTTTTGGCCAGCAAATCACTGCAACTTCCTGGCACTTGTACTCTGTTTTGGCAAGCAAATCGCTGAAACTTCCTGGCACTTGTACTCTGTGTTTAGGCCAACAAATCACTGCAACTTCCTGGCACTTGTACTCTGTTTTGGCCAGCAAATCACTACAACCGCCTGGCACTTGTACTCTGTGTTTAGGCCAACAAATTACTGCAACTTCCTGGCACTTGTACTCTGTTTAGGCCAACAAATCACTGAAACTTCCTGGCACTTGTACTCTGTGTTTAGGCAAACAAATCACCGCAACCGCCTGGCACTTGTACTCTGTGTTTAGGCCAACACATCACTGCAACTTCCTGGCACTTGTACTCTGTGTTTTGGCCAGCAAATCACTGCAACCGCCTGGCACTTGTACTCTGTGTTTAGGCCAACAAATCACTGCAACTTCCTGGCACTTGTACTCTGTGTTTTGGCCAACAAATCACTGCAACTTCCTGGCACTTGTACTCTGTGTTTGGGCCAGCAAATCACTGCATTTTCCTGGCACTTGTACTCTGTGTTTGGGCCAGCAAATCACTGCATTTTCTTGGCACTTGTACTCTGTGTTTTGGCCAGCAAATCACTGCAACTTCCTGGCACTTGTACTCTGTGTTTAGGCCACCAAATCACTGCAACCGCCTGGCACTTTTACACTGTTTTTAACTGTGCCAACTAAGGCTATTGACTGTACTGAGTCTACTAAGTCTACTCAAGCGGTGGTTGTGTGTGTACAGAAGTATGCGTATGTTCATAACCAGAATTATCTTGGTTTAACCGAGACAAATTATTGTCACCAAACATGTTCGTTAACTCAATTAATTGAATTGTTGTTTAGCTAATTTGTTTGTTAACCGGGGCTTTCGTTGTCCGAGTTACAACTGTTCATAGTTGAAGTTGGCATCCTGGCGCCTTCGTTAGACGATGGTGCACTTTCTCGGGTGACTTAGGAGGCCGTGACTGGAGTGGGTGGGAGTCTCGACTGCACTTCCGGAATGAAAAACTTGACTGCTTGTTTTCTTTAACCTCTTGCATTGCTCATTGCTCTTGTCAGAAGGGCTTCGTTTCGCGCATCATCTGCCTGTTGGTTACACTAATTCAATGCTTTTGGAGTTCAATTCTTACTGATTTTGTTACTAGGCGAAGCTAACCCAAAATTGGTTGCATAGTCAAATAGGGAGTTGTAAAATTAGCGAGCTATGATAGCAAGAACGTTAGCCATTACTGCATAATCTTTAATTTGAGAACCACTGAATTCTTTTTACAACTCAAACTTTGACTAAAACTAATATGTTATGTCTTACTACTTGACAGGTTACAAAAACCGAAGGTCAGACCTTTGAGGAGACCATGCTGATGGAGGCCACCAGCGACGTCGCCGTAGGTCCCCACAGCCGGTGCACGGCCAACGTCTACCTAGAGGAGCAGCCGCTCCACACGGAGTTCAAGGTCGTCACTAGGTTGTCTATACCCCAGGAGCGCGCCCTTGTGTACATCCTGCGGAAGTCTGACGGCGCCAAGGCGTTCATCTACAGCGTGAAGAGCCTTCGCCAGGAATTCGATGAGAGGAGTGTGCCGTGCAGTAAGAGTGTGTTTGAGGAGGGTGGTGGTGTCTCGCACACGAAGCTGGACTTTGTCACCGAAGGCGTGCTGCATGGTACTTTGGCGTGTAACCACCAAATTCTTTTGAAGAGCGAGGACCCGGCTGTGTAGGCCGCAAACATGTACCATGTATTCCCAATCACCGGAAGTCTCGAGGGATGCGAGATTTCATTGCTATTTTTAAATAGATAAGAGAGAGGTGTGTCGCTATGCGCCGGGACGCATTTGGACGCATCCGGCGAAACCCGTAAAAGACGCATTTAGTCGCAAACGTCGGGAATGAGTTAATAATGTGTGGTGGGTGTATCTTCTATAAAACATGTTGAAAAGTATAAGTGTGTGTATTGCAAATAATAGGATACATAATTTTATATATACCGCTCTATATATAGTATTGTTTGCCCTTCGCATGCAAAGGTGACCAAGACATGAGTAGTAGCCTTGACTTGAGCTGCATTTTGTTTAAAGTGATGGAGAGTTGCTCAGTTATCAGCCTCACTAGCTTGCCCTTGCCTATTTGGCAAGACTTATCAAGGGAAGCTGATACCGGGGAAGCTGAAACAGGGAAGATGATACAGGGAAGCTGATACCGGGAAAGCTGTTACAGGGAAGCTGGCTGATACACTGAAATGGGGAACAGGCTATGGGGTTTCTATCAAGTAATTTTGGTGAAAAAATTTAGATTTGACGATAATTTCATTGAGTGGTGTGCAGTGACTTATCTGTTGCTTCATCGCATAAGAAAAGTCTAGAAAATCGCTCAATTTCTGTTGCGCCTTCGTGCATAGCAGCAAGCTTTTTGGACGTTGGTAAGACAGCTCAACTTTCTTTCAATTTCAATTGATTCCGATCTTAAATCACTCTGTGGCTACTTTGTGCAACATTTAGAAACAGTTCGTGTACTCCGGGAGTGCAAGAAGATAGATGTTTTGGAGGAGTGTACCATGGCTCACAACGTGGGAGGAATGGAGGCAATGACGGACCCATCAGGAAATCCAGAAAAGTAGATGCCTTATGGGTGGGATTACTATGTTGTTGTTGGGTGACCTCAGGCAGACGCTAGCCGCCTTTCTTAATTCATCCCACCTGGGCCTTATTGTTTAGGTCCGCCTATGACCTGTGATGCACCCTCCTTGCCCTGCCTCATTTTCTGTCTCGGGTTGATCCTGTATTATAGGCCAAAACGTGCCAAAGTGTCCTCGTTTTATAGCCATTTTAATTGTTTCTAAAGTATAGTAGTTACTATCCTAGTGTCTCATTTTTATTTTACTTAGTTTACATGTTTTTAATAATTGTAAAGCGCTTAGAGCTTTAAGGTAAGCGCTTAGAGCTTTAAGGTAAGCGCTATATAAAAATGCCTAAATAAATAAATAAATAATTCTAAGTCTGATACTGGAGAGTCAACATGAGGGTTCATCTGAAAAACGATCTTAAAGGAGAGGAAGTTCTTAAAATTCCATCTCCAAATGTGATATGGGGACATAGGATATGTGAATTTAAAGGAAGATGATGTCAAGGTATACACTCCGGACATGGTATGCACTCTGAACATGGTATACACTCCAAAAATGGTATATACTCTGAACATGGTATACACTCCAAACATGGTATATACTCTGAACATGGCATACACTTCGAGTATTCTCTGTGAAGCTGTCAAAGATCTAAATATATTAAGTGAGAAACATAGTCAGGTTTGAGAAATGAACACACGGCTAATTTGATTTGGCCTTAGGACACAGCTATTCTTATACCGGTACTCCAAAACAGCAGGAAGAAAGATTAGTTTGCAAGCCAAATTGTGTTTTTTAATATTAATAATAGAGTGATAACCTTGGCATCTTATTATCTAATTAGATGATTTGTTTGTTGATTAATGTTTGACTTTTTAGTAATGGGGTGTTACGGTACATGGGTAACTGCCCGAAATATTTTTCTGAAACTATTATTTATGAATTTAAAACTTTTCCTTGAAGAATGCCTTCTTGTTTTATCTTATTTCTCAACTGAAAATTACGCAGATTTGAGGAGGCAAAAACTTAGACCCACTCATCTGAGCTCTCAACATAATGAAATGAATGTATTAATTATAATATGTAGATGATAAGAGACATAAATTTTTTAAAATTAATTTTTCTTTTTATTCCTTCATTTTTGTTTGAAAAAAGCAGTATATAATATAATAAATGGCAACAAATAATGGGCCGGTATTGAATTAATTTAAAAGTGTAAGAATTGCAGAGAAATCGTGATGCTCTGTGTCCATCAAAAAATGGCAAACAAAATATAGATATAAACCTAGTTGAGCTAATATAATTTAATGATGATTAATAATGAGCTCTTTGGCATAGACTCAGTTTTTTTCCCTTGAAAATATTTACGAGACAAATGATGATATCTTAATAATAATAAATAATAAAGTGCATTTCAAAAACACGCTTCATCCCCAAAGGCTCAAAGCGCAGTACAAGAGGGGAAAAAATTTTTTTTAACACATTTAAAACAAACGCAACACTACAAAAACTAATTACAAGCATACAACGTCAAAGTCTTTCAAGCCATTTCAACCATAAGCAACACAGCCATTATGCATTAACTGGAAAATAAGGTAGACAATCATCCCAGAAGGTGTTTGCGAAAGAAATGTGTCTTTAAATCGGTTTCAAAGGACTATTATCTCCCCTGCACAAACAGAGGCAAAAAAAAAAAAAAAGTTTCAAATGTAATTATTACACAGAGCTGTTTTCTAGACAGTTTGTTTTCTTCTTTTGTTTATTCACTGTTTGAAAAAATATATTTGTCTTTGACTGAGCCGTACATCACAGGCAACACAATGTCACTTGTCATAATTAATTAAACCTGTAGCTGTGATAATAGACCCAGAAAACAGCCTGAATCTGAATCCTGCTACAAAATTGCAAATGAGTAAAACAAAGTATGGTCAAACCTGAAAAAAAGAACGCAACAAAACAACAAAAATGTCATGAGGAAGACTTTGTCAGTGAAAAAACAATAATAAAAATGGAATTTAATTAAAAAATAGCACTTAGCTCAGAACTAGTATCCGAGAGGGCAGCAAAAGAATTCTTTTGAACATATGTTTGTTTTGCTCATTTCCTTTTTGCTAACCTGATTGCAGCCTCTCCCCTTATTACCTTTTTGAAAAACTGCTAAGACGGAGGTTTCTCACTGATGAGTAGTAAAAACTTCATAAAGATGTGTTTACACTGGAGTTATGTGAAATAATTCATAATTCAACCAATTTTTTTAAAATACTTGTGTGCTTGAATTTCATTGATCTTGTGCCAAATATTTCAAGTCAATGTTTGTTACAAACCTAATTATAACTACTTTACTTAAAATGTTACTATGTCTTTAAAGCAACAGATTGTACAGATTGATGTGAAAACATATTGATATGGGTTGAAAAAATATGGGTAAATGATCTTGAAGGGATTTTGTTTTAGCATTTGGATAAAAAAAATGATAAGCATGCATACAATCATATAAATTATGTTATCAACAAAAAAGGTGGACATTTCAATAAGAAATGTGTGAACAGGATATTTCAAATTACCGGTGCAACAATTTATATTGCACATAGTCGGCTTATGTTTGTATCAGTGGTCTTCAAATACTACTATTAAACTGCTTGAAAATATATTCTACACTGACTTTTTCAACCACTTGCCCTTAGGAGGGTAAACATTCTTCTGGTCTTAAGTATTCAAAGCTCAAATTAGAAATCTAAATCATCAGTTCTATCTTTTGATAACATTTTTTTTTTTAAATTGTAGTTATTTATCAATAGTTAACTTTCTAAAGAAAATCCATATATTGTACATAGAATGTAATACATATTTATGACTGTAGCTGTAGCACCTCCAGAGCTTTTATTGTTAATGGTGTATTTTTTTTCAACAACTTAGTATTGTTAACTTAAAAGAGACAAAGCAGCCTGTAGCTTACACTCAGTTCTTTGTTTTTTCTTTATTTAGTAACAACGAATGTAAACTTAGACTTCTCAAATTTCCATTGGAAATAGCTTATTGATTTTATTCCATTACAGTAAATTACAGCAATTTTTAATAGAATTTACATTAAGGGTGATACAAAATATGTTTTTTTTTGTATATAGGTTTTTAAAATTCTGATAGTTGATAAATAGGGATGAAGTGTGTTTTTGAAATGAACTTAATAATTATTGTTTTATGCTATAACTCAGAATAACTGTATTTTAAAATAGCATATCATGTGACAACTCTGGCCACACAGACAGGGGCAGACTTGTTTTTAAAAAGAACAAGCACTTACTGTAAATGATTCAATTCTTTTATAAATTAGTACCAATGCCCATCAACACTTCTATATTTCTGAAAAATATCTAAGATATGTAAATCCTCTTCGAAACAGTGATGTAAATGCTTGCTTTACTTGAAAATTCCTAACTTAACAACTTTACAAATGTCATTTAAAATAATCTTCCAGGGCTATACCTTTTGGGTGTTCCAGCTTGACCACATAGAAGTTGTTTTCTAGCTTTTTATGACGCTGAAAAATAAGTGTCCTAAATTTAATAAGATAACACAATGAAGATAACTCTGTTATCTTAACAAGCACACAAAAAAAGTATTTATACATTAGAACAAATAACTTACTATAGAAAAGAAATAACTTCTCTTTAAAAAAAAAATGTACTCTAACAAAACAAATCAATAGGTATCCTTACAAAATAAATATGGTAAGTAACTGTTTTTAGATAGTTTTATCTTAAATTATTTTATACCGGGTATACAGTCTTTATGATTTTTAAAAACAATACATAAGAATTGTAAAAATAAAAATATCTTTTCCAATAGAATAATAATTTTAGCATATAGAATATAGAAAAACTCAACTTCAAAGACATTTCCTTTCATTAATGTTATTGCTTTTTCCAGAGCAGTTCATAAAAAGTAGAATGATGTCACCCTTAAAGATACTTGCTCTATTAAGCCAATTGGACTAGTTATTATACCCCTGTTTTCTTTCTTGGCATTTTTAGGGTAAAGACTTATGAATGACAAAGAAAAAAAATTAAGGAGGGTCTTAAACTTAAAATCAAGTCTTATACATACCACAGTTATTGTACCTGAAGGAAAAACTGCAGAAACATGACTTGCCACAACTTTATCTTCAACTGTTATCTGAAATTCAGCTTGTTTCTGGGTCCTAGGGAATAAACAATTGGAAAAAATAGAAAATAAAATTGTGAAAAATGTGTCATTATTGTCTTGAATATTCTTATTTTTCTCATATGATATTTATATACATTTAATTTGTATAACTCCTTACAGCATCAACTATCAGAGTTTTAAAATCCTAATCAGAAAATTACTTACTCATTAACTGTTTTGATTGCAAATGTAAATGATGGTTTTCGCGTTAGGAAATCATTTGCAATCTTAAAGCTTACTGTATGATTTTCAGCATTAACACCTGCAGTGACTGTGATAATGAGAATTTAAAAAAAAGGTATATCAACATTTAATGATTTATATAGGAAAATTAAAAACATTTATGTAGGTAAATAAAAAATATCTTTTCATTAAAATGATTACTAATATGTGATTGGTTCTGTCATATTTTTATTATACCAATATACCTGCTTATAATAAATATTTTAGTGATAGTGAATTATTAAATAAACTAAGTGATGAGAATAATCAATATTCAAACAGTAATATTTACTATTAGTGACTGTATTAAATCAGGGGTCTTAAACTTGTTGTCCATGGTTCGAATGCAGATCTCAAAGTGATTTGTGTTGCATTATGCATATTCATGAGATTGATGTATTTAGGCTTTAGATGAGTTGAGTCCCTTGATTTGATTTGTCGCTTAGAAGTCCTTATTTTGTTTAAATCTTGTAGTATTATTATTGGTACACTGGTACAGAACGGCATTACTTGATTAATACTGCGTTTGAAATAAGTTGAACTTAAGTTACTAAAATATATCAATGTCTATCTATACTATTAGTATTTTATTTAACTTTTTTAAGATAAGACGATTTTAAATAATAAGTCACTAAGTCACCATCGCCGTATCGCCGTGTGTGCGTTTTACTTTTAATCGTATTTTGCAATATATATTTGTTAAAATATCGTTTAAGCGAATTTAATATTTAATACCTGGTGCCGGTTTAGACATGATTCATTTACTATCATTTAGCTAGATATCTAGTATAGTAAAAACACACTTTGTAATCTTTATTTTAGTAGGCCTAGTGGTTCAATAAATTTACTATTTACTTCAAATTCGAGATCCCTCTAGTTACCGAATTCTATCGACAACGCGAAAGAGTTTTGAGAATAGATAATCATATGCTCGGGAAAGCGGTTTATAATTATTTAATTAAAGCGAAAATTTACACACAAAATTATAACATAATTAATATATATTGTCCTGCGTAAAATATTATTAATAATGAATTTTAATTTTAAAGAAACTTAGACTTAACATTTTATAAAAAGTAATATTAGTAACGCTTGACTTACCGGTACCACGATGCCCCGGGATGGCATGATATGGCGATAGGCCGGTAGTAGGCTATATCTATGTCATTATTATAATTAAAGTAGTCCTACATAGTATTACTTTTCATGGGAAAGGTCGGCACAGCACCATAACATTTTAATATTTCTGTAACTGTACAAAACAATTTGTTCCAGTTCCATATATCGTATACATAGCATTTTCTGACATCGTCACAGACGTTACCCAGAACATCTATATCTAGACAGAGCCGTCCATAGGCACAGAAAGCCGTTGCGTGGGTCCTGCAAAGCAATCCCTTCGGATATTTGAGGGCCTTAAACTTAAAGTTGTGTGGTGCACAAATTAAAAGCAGGTATGCATTTTAAAATAGTTTTGAAGCGGTCGGGGGCCTCCAAGGACACGCGACGACTCTTAATCTAGATATGTAACCGTAAATTATTTCTTTCCAGGCTGAAAGAATTTTAGCTTTAAATTGCTATTTTGATACTTTCAAAAATTTGGAAAATGCCATCAAAGCTTTTGTAGAGATTCAAAATGCTGTCCTTGTAAAAAAGAGTTATAGATTGCTAGAGTTCTATATATAATTATAATTTATAATAAAGACCTAATATAGATAGATACATGATTTTTTTTTTTTGGGGGGGGGGGAGAGAAGGGGGAATCATAGTTTGAAAAATTATACTCAGCGGGGAAAATGCAAGAAAGGGACTCATCACGTTTCAAGGTAGAAATGGGGACTTGTGGAAGATGCAAGACAGGTTCTATATATAATTATAATTTATAATAAAGACCTAATATAGATAGATACATGATTTTTTTTTTTTGGGGGGGGGGGAGAGAAGGGGGAATCATAGTCTGAAAAATTATACTCAGCGTGGAACATGCAAGAAAGGGACTCATCACGTTTCAAGGTAGAAATGGGGACTTGTGGAACATGCAAGACAGGGACTCATCACGTTTCAAGGTAGAAATGGGGACTTGTGGAACATGCAAGACAGGGACTCATCACGTTTCAAGGTAGAAATGGGGACTTGTGGAACATGCAAGACAGGGACTCATCATGTTTCAAGGTAGAAATGGGGACGTGTGGAACATGCAAGACAGGGACCTATCACGTTTCAAGGTAGAAATGGGGACTTGTATAGGATATTTACCCACAAAACTACTACTGTAGTAAAGTTGACAGCAAATTAGTTGTACCGTTAAAATGCCTGTCGATAATGGTGATTGGCTTTGCTATTTTATCCGTCATTGTTGTGACATGATATTGCAGTAACGATGCACTGATGACTCAACACACGCTGTTCATTTTATGTAATTAGATTAAGGATTGTAAACAGTTCGGTATTAAGATGATTGTTTGTTTTTAGATTAGTACGTGCACTTTAACGGGATAGGTTAACCGTGATTCTATTTCTTGACTTTTCATTTAAGGAAGATTCCACGCGGGGAGTAGAATTTAAAAAGGGGTGCGGGGTGGGATATGTCAAGGGTATAAGAATCACTGTTGTTATATGTGGGATTGCTGTAAGTTATGTTGACCTTAAAAAGTGCGAGTATGACTGAACGGGGCGTGAGATTGTCGATGATGGGCGGGAGGGTGTATATGTATAGTGTGTCAGGGGAGCGAAGGTTTGTTGGTCAGACACGATGAAGCTTATTTTCCGCTGGATGTAATTAAGTAGTAATTTGGTTTTGTACCAAGTGGATTTTGAGTACAGTGTACATGACTGCTCAATGTTGTGATGAAGTGGAATAAACATATAGCATGAAATCAACTATTAAGTGTTGTTGTGAATTGAAATAAACGTACAGCATAAATTACACTGTTCAGTGTTTTAGTGAATTGAAATAAACGTACAGCATAAATTACACTGGTCAGTGTTTTAGTGAATTGAAATAAATGTACAGCATAAATTACACTGGTCAGTGTTTTAGTGAATTGAAATAACGCACAGCATAAATTACACTGTTCAGTGTTTTAGTGAATTGAAATAAACGTACAGCATAAATTACACTGGTCAGTGTTTTAGTGAATTGAAATAAACGTACAGGAGACAGTATAAAAATGACACTGCTCAGTGTGTGATAAAGTGAGAGACAATATCTGAAACAAATAGTCGGACATACATTAGATGAAAACTCGACATGTGAAAAGTATATAACCATCATGCCAAAATTATACAACCCTCATGCCAAAAGTATACAACCCTCATGCCAAAAGTATACAATCCGTATGCCAAAAGTAGAGACCGACCGAATTCAGCCTCGGCGCCGAAAGTGGCCATTTGATCATTTTCGGAAGTGGCCATTTGATCACTTTCGGTCTAATTTCGGTTTCGCCCCGAAAGTGATTGGGACTTCGGTAGAAACTGAAATGTTAGCTTTCGGTTTAATTTCGGTTTCGGCCGAAAGTGACTGGGGTTTTCGGTCATCTACCAGAGGTCAGACTGTCTGTCTGTCTGTTGGCTGGCAATCCGATATTCATTATTGCTCGACATCTAGCTGCCATCGTATGTCATATGACTAATACTCTGCCAAAACTGCTAACAGCTGCATGATGACCTACTTGTACTTTTTTCCAAAAAATACAATTTTAATTAGGCCTAAGCAAATGTCAACAGTTTGTGGAAGAAAAACTTATATTTGAATGCTAATATTTTATGTCACTATTTTTGTTTTAATTTTTTCAAAAATAAAATTCTGAACCCTGGGTTTATTCAATTCCTTCATTTGTGATGTTCAATTGATTTATCATTATCATGCTCATCAAATTTTGTCATAGGCTACGGTAAATAATATTGAATGTTTACCGACTTTGAAGGCCTCATTTTCAATCAATTTAGTAAACCAACTTTGTTTCCCAACTATTGCTGGAGGACCTTCCGTTGTTAAGCCCCACTACGTTGTTAAGTCGTCACGAAAAGTGATTCAATTTCGATGTAACTGCCGCTAACAAATCTCGTAACTTATTAGTGTCCTTTACTGGATGCATTGCCGCGAATTCTTCTGTCTTTATAAAATGGACATCAACACCCTGATAAAAATTGCCAGTTGGGCCGTATCTGCCGTATCTGCCGTATCTGCCGTATCTGCCGAATCTGCCGTTTCTAACGTATCTGCCGTATCTGCCGTATCTGCCAAATCTGCCGTTTCTAACGTATCTGCCGTATCTGCAGTATCTGCCGTATCTGTGCTTTCATCCAATGCTAGAGCATAAAATATAAACTCGGATGCTCAACGTTTACAAATTATATTCAATATGTTTTCCAATGTCTACCGAGACAGACTTCAGACTTATTTTTGAGAAATCCTTCTTTTCTGGACAGGGCGCAGAATTACAACGACGCCCTCCCAACATTCCTTAAGCATTTCCCAATCTGAATGTGGCACATTTTTGTGTTGTTGCTAATTTCATGGCTACTGCACAACTAGCTTTAATATAGCATATTGACTCTGAAACCGCTCTAGTAAATGTCCTTTGGTTGAGCAGAGTTTTTTTTTCAAAAAGGCATCTACTTGGTCTTGTCAAAATTGCCCATATAAACTTTGTTTTAATTTCTATGAACAAAAAATTGTTTACAGTCCACCTGTCTTGACAATTTCTGAATTTTTCAGTAATTATTCTCTTCTTTGGTCCAATAAATATGTATTTTAATAACGTCGATCACAAAACCTCTCTATAATAGAATGAAATTATAGAATAACATGGAAATTTGTCAAGCTGGACTGAAAGTAATTATGAGTATGAGCCCGATAGCGTTGCAAGCTTCCTAAAGATGCCGAAGACCACAGAACATACATATCAGAAGTTGTAGTCTCATATTACATTTGATCAGCACTTAGCATCAGACAAAAACTAAATTACCTTAAGTGTTAAATAGCGGGATATTTGAAACTGCTAAAATCTATCAAATTGTTTCTAAAACAGAGAGATATTTTAAATTTATCTTAGCTATAATTTAAAAATACGTGATACGAACGACACATAGTGCTGTATTCTTTTGATGACATGTACAATCAAGTTAACATTTATGTTCATTTGCCCCAGCTCCGCGGGCCACAGCATGTACAATCAAGTTAACATTTATGTTCATTTGACCCAGCTCCGCGGGCCGCAGCATGTACAATCAAGTTAACATTTATGTTCATTTGACCCAGCTCCGCGGGCCACAGCATGAACAACCAAGTTAACATGTATGTTCATTTGACCCAGCTCCGCGGGCCGCAGCATGTACAATAAAGTTAACATTTATGTTAATTTGACCCAGCTCCGCGGGCCGCAGCATGTACAATAAAGTTAACATTTATGTTCATTTGACCCAGCTCCGCGGGCCGCAGCATGTACAATAAAGTTAACATTTATGTTCATTTGACACAGCTCCACGGGCCGCAGCATGACTCCCGGCGGGCCCCATGCGGACCGTGGGTCCTTGTGTTGGCCACTCCAGATTTAAAGGTTAAGTTTCATTACGTTATAAATTTAACAAAAGTATATTATTTGGCATTAAAAAGTAAAAACTTGTTAAATGTGGAAAATTCAAAGCTAAAATGTGTGCGTTTTTTTTTTTATTAAGAATTTAAAAATCAATGTATAACAGGAGGGTAGGGAGGGAGATGCGGGAGGTGCGGTCCGCACCGGGTGACACCATTTTAGGGGTGACACCCGATTGAAAAAGTGCATATTTACATAGCACACAGTGTGCGGTCTAACCGAGATTCATAAAAGGATAACCTATCACACAATACATTTTTCACAAATGTAACCAAACC